TAATTACATAGCATGGTTCCAAATGCTGCAGCTCGAATTGCACCTGTTATTGACAGGCAAGCCAGTCTGTACCTTGCTTAATTCTGCGATGGCAGTGCGTGGTCTCATCTTTGGCCAAAAACCAGAGATGCGTAAGTGATCGTGGGTCTTACCACCATTATGTACCAGTGCATCATGGAACGCCTCAATCACCACGTTTTGCCATGCCTTTTCATGTCTTTGATCTACGGGTTCCATTTCCATAACCTTAAAACGAGGCTGTCGAAATCGGGTTGAGGGCGAGTTGCCATTGGGTTGTTTTTGGTCAGAACAGTGCCTGATGGACCCGACCATTTCTGCGACAAATTATGTACCTGTCACACTTTGCGTGTTAACCTGCGCCTGTCCTAAACTACGACCAACAAGGTGACATTCCAATATAATACGTTTTCCCTTACAAGACTTATGGAACTTGAGAAAATAAGCGGATTTTCTTAGTAGCATATACACCAATGTCTTGAGAGAACCGTGATATTGGGCTCCGCAAACTCAATCAAACCTAAACCAAACCGAAGCCGGTCCTGTACCTCGATCACGTCCACAGCGCCATCGTACACTTATACGACGTACGACTACGACGTAAATACGGATTTTATGACAAAGCCGTTCTTGGAATTTCAATTCATCTGAACAGTGAGTACGTTTTCGTTTATTTTTTTTTATACTTGTTCGCTCACGTTTCACCACACATTAGCTTTATTATAAGGAAACCCCGAACTCTGCGGAAATCCTGTATTATATGCTTTCTGTTATACTATACTATATAAAATCATAAGTTTATCATCGATTATAGATTAGGATAGTATTTTTGAATAAGCTGTATACCACCTTCATATCATTATGTTGAATGTCAGGCAGTGCAGTCCATTAACTGTATAGTCATGGAGAGCCTGACATTAAATTCTTAGTGTCATTAAGCACCCATTTAGGACATGTTTATGGAAAATAAAATGCTAATATGAAAGCACGATAATGCTACCTTGCCTGATAGTCAGTTTTGCAGTGAAGCAGTCAAGGTTTATTATGTTTATCAAGTTATCACCCGTTGCTACAAGAAACCTTAACACAGTACGCTGAGTAATCTGGGATACTGATTTAGAAACTGGCTATCAAAAAGTTAGCAGCAGTAACATGGTACTTTTGGGATTTCCAGTTGATCTATGTGCAAAACAGACACCAGATTCGTAATCCACGCATCCGATTTATCCATGGAAGTGAATCTGGTCGAAATTCAAAATTGAAGTTTCTCAAGGCAAAGCTTCGTTTCCCGTTGTCACATGTGAATTTAACTCGGCAAGATGGTGTTATTTTGGATACTGATTTCGATAAGGACATCAAACGTATAAGGAGATAGAAGAAATGACCAAGGGAATCTGCAAAAATAGCTTCTGTGAAAAGATTGCAGTTGTAATGCGTAGAAGCGTGTTTATGACAATTTATTTTGTTTTCCAGATTCTTGAAAATAAAAATTCTTGCTACGGCATCATCAGAACCAAATTGCCCATTAGAAATTGTCGTTAATCCAGTGGAGCTTATTGGACGTAATAATATTTGAAACATAAACACTTACGCTCCTCAATTTCCGTATCAATACAATGGGCTTTAAAATAATGGCGAATGTGCACGTCATACGCATTGATGTTTATAATTTAGGCGAAGGTGTAACAAATATGAGTGTTCCACATTTAAAAATATGGTGAATGTATGTCTTAATAGAACGATAGAAAGCTGTGACGTGTATAGGACCTGGGTGGGGCCTATACGGTGACATAGAGTAAAAAAGAATACATTTTATTTCCCATAAGACAACGTTTCGCGCATGGTGGGCTGCAAATAATATTGAAGCGAATTTGAGCCAAAAAAAAAAGGCAACCTGACTTTTCTAGCTTATCTGAGAGAATTTACACGATTTTATATTTTCCACTTCTGTAGTGGAAACAGTGCAAAGAACGTTAACGAGTTCGAGAATATCAAAAGCATGCTTTTCCGAAAAGGTATGTGAAATTTTGTTTCTGCAGACGCTGTAATATTCAGTATTTTTGAAGCGTCGTAATTCAAAAAAATCTTGGAGCTGATAAAAAATAAACATGTATCTCACTGGATAAATCGCCAAAGACTTATACGAAACAAAATATAAGAATGACTACTAAAACAGGTTTTAAATGTTTGAGACTACCATCTACTTTATCATAATAGCATTAAAATAAAAACCTTCAGCAAAGCATCCCGCTTCCCAAACCAAGAACATTTGTCTAAGAACATGTGAATTAACTACTGCTTTGCAAAGTTTGGGATGAATAGATAAATAGTTTACTTGAAGATAGGCAAATTCACCCATAACGTGCTTGGCATTTTGTACCATTTGGAGAGGGGCAGGCCCCCCTTATCTATGCCACTGACAGAAAGGGTACTAGATGTGGAGAAATGGGAAATAGTTATAGATCCACAACTTGTTTCAAAGTAGGGATGTACAACTTTATCACCACACCTGTCACTGTACATATTCTTGTGAGCAAATTACTCCTAGCTTCTTGAACCAAATCTAGGTCAAGTTTTGCTATATAATAATATATACAGCCTACGACACAACAAGTAAATATATGAGATTTTTGTAGACACGCCAAGATGAAAAATACCCAGAAGTTTTATAACTAGCAGTAGCAGGTACGAGTATGTCCTGAATTTCCAATTTTTCACATCAATTCCCCAAAGAAAGGTCAAACGATACGATGATCCTCCGATTTCTATCTAATCACCGATATTGAAATTTACTTTTCAGATATCTGGCTTCCATTCGCTACGGTTCGAACATGCCTGAAATGATGTAACTTTCTGGAGACTGCTTTTGAAATAAGACTTTTTTACGCTTTCACCTCAGAGTATGATTTCTATTCCGGATTTGTTATCGAATTTATAAACCTTCTGTAATTTGTCAATTTAAGTTCGAAATAACAAAGGTAATTTGCGGAAAGGCAGCAACGAAGAAGCAAAACAAAAATTGAAAAATACTTTCGATTCAAAAACAGAAGTCTGCTTACTACTTCCTAAATTTGCAATATTTGGGGCTCTCTAGGTCCTGTACTGTGTCCACCGACACGGCTTTTGAACGATACACACAAGCGTACTTAGCTCTGATGTAAACAACGAGGACAACGTTCAGCATACACTCGCGCAGCAGCAATAGGATCTTTAACACGCACACAGTGATCAAAAATCAAATTGATAAATAGCACTTTAATAGCACCTATATTGCGATTTTGACGTCCTATCTCTCTGAAAGAAAACCTTATATTTTTACAATGGATACTATGCATGCTTACATTTCTACCAGCGGTGTTCCTCAAGGCTCTAACTTAGGACCCCTACTGTTCATTCATGGCTTATGTAACTCTTTGGCATGGCATGTTTGCCGACGATTTAAAATTTCACTCTGCTATTTTCTCGATAGAGGATTGCGTTTTGCTACTTTGAACAAATAAATATTGTACGAAGATGGTGTGAAAATAACAACATTCTTCTAATTATTTGCAGATGTAACGTACTCACTTTTTTCAGACAAAATAATCCTATATGGTACAACTACACAATGGAGGATTGTGGATTTTCGCGTTGTGAGACTGTGAGAGATTTATTTGTCTACTTTACCAGCAACTAACCTTCAATGATCATATTAACCAAATCAATCAAATTAAATTAAAACGTATGGCTTTATAATAAGAAACTGTAGGAGCTTTGGCAATGCTTGACAAAACTTGAATATGGGTCTCTTATTATATTATAAACAAGATGTTGATGCTATCGATAAGGAAGAAGAAGTTTCTTAGTTTCAACGCTAATATACAATTCAAGAGGTAGCCCGAATATAGTGACCTATAAAAGTTTTATTTTCAACCTTAAGAGCATCGACAGAATCAATTTTTTCAAATTGTTGCTCGAACAAATCGACTGTACCCAAATTCTCTCGCAGTTACAATTTCTGGTGGTACGATTAGCTTCACGAACTGGTGTTCCTTTTTTATGTTAAAGAGCACAGACTAACTTATTATCAAAAGCACTAGTTGTTATGACCTATAACAATGTCAATAAGATTGCTAACAACTGTGACACCTTTGATTGCAATTTTAATGAGATAAAGAATTAACTGCGTTTCCTAAGTTAAATTTACAATCTTGTGTATATACATATATGTGCTTTGTTCTTATGAAAATATCTCTAGGCTAACTTTTAATTTTATGAATTGCTGTGTTATTGGCGATAAGCTGTTACTATTATAGGTATATTATTATTATTATTAATAATATCAGTATTATTATTATTATTTCCTTTCTTCTCTCCCATAGGAAGGTATGAATCTGCTGTATAGGGAAAAAGTTCACCTTATCCTATTGCCAGAAATTTCCTTACTAGGCGGCAAGTGGCAAGAATAGCCGCTTTTTGGATAGGATCCAGTATCCCTTTAGGACGGTCTACTGCTTTAAGATGTTGTAGGAAATGGTTTGTTACCACTCCGAGAAGACAATGGGTACAATGCTGACGTTATTCAGTTTCCATAAGCGCTTCATTTCAATCGCTAAGTCCTCATACTTCATTTTCTTTTCATCTTCGGTCGTTTTCAAGTTAATAGTAAGGGGAACTGCTATATCTATTATCAGGGCAGACTTCTCGTTTTTGTCTATGTATACAATGTCAGGCCTGTGGTGCTGTATGTGCCTATCTGTTATTATTGGGCGATCCCAATAGAGCAGTGACGTATCCTTTTCTATAACCGCGGTAGGTACGTATTTATAATTGGGAACAGCCTTTTCCAAGAGCCCACTTTTCAGACCTATTTTTGATGAATAATGGCTGCAACACTATATTATGCCTAGCTAGGTAGGCGTCGTTTGCTAGACTAGAGCATCCGGCATTTTTTTTTTCTATACTCCAACTACCACGAAGGCCTAAGGCCTAAGCACCCATTGGTTACCGTGGGGCTATGGGGGATACATGGGAAAGGGGGGACGCCACACGGACTCTGGCGAGGGAACACGTGTGCATGCAACATGCACACATTCTGGCTCCGCCTACGAGAACCGCCGGGTGGTACCTCCGCGTTCGACAGTCAGAGACCATCTACCACCTACGGACAATCACAACATCCTTGGTCAAGAGAAACATTTCTCCTGGGACGGGAATCGAACCCGCACAGCGCACGGCGACTGATCAGGAGACCGAAGAGTCTACTACTGCGGCCACCGCTGCTACCTAAAACAAACACACAACATCCATGGCGAAGGCGAGATTCGAACTCGCGGCCCGGCCGGCCGGCTGATCAGTAGCACGACACTCTGACCCACGCGGCCAACCGAGGTCCCATCCTTATTATTATTATTATTTTTTGCGACCTTCACTCCATTAGCATAGTGGATGTTCGTCGAATGCCTGGAGGAATTATGCTATTCTCCGAGGTCTTGCCTAGACCTTGAGGAAGAATGCGTTGTGGTGTATTTATGATAGACTACGTCTTATTATACTAAGTGACATATAAATCCGAACACCCAGTTTAAATGGTTTTATTTTAATAAAAGTTGGTGAATGTATTTATCTTACTGTAAAAACAAGTGAAAAAATTTCCAGCCTTATCAGTTGGACATTCCGGTTTTTATACTGCTTTTTTTTAATTCACTAACGCTCTAAAAATGAATATTTCAGCCGCAGTAAAGAATTAACGTTGGCGGATTTCGGGCAATTGCAGTTAGAGTGCAAAGAAGTGTAGACACTGTGGTTAGGTGTTGTCAGGCATGGCTTCGAGAAGGCCGTACGCAAAGAGCAAGGGGCACTGGACGCCGCCGTAGAACAGCAGACCGTGAAGATCGCCGCCTAAGATTATTGGCCTTAAGAGACCGTTTCTCCACTACCAGGTCCATTGCAAATGAATGGTTTGCAGAACACGGAAGACCTATTGGCATGCGAAGTGCTTACCGACGAATGAAAAGTTTTGGCTTGTTTTCATACCGGCCACACTGGGTGCTCCCTTTAACTCGAGAACACCGACGTAATCGCCTTGAGTGGTGCAGACAACGGTCACTCTGGGATCAGGAATGGAACAGTATTGTCTTTAGAGACGAGTCTCGATTTTGTTTAGGCATGCACGATGGTCGTGCCAGGGTTAGAACGCGACGTGGTGAAAGGAGGAATCCACAGTTTTTTGTTGAAAGACATGTTCATCACACTGTTGGAGTTATGGTTTGAGGTGCTATAGCTTATGGTTCCAGGTCACCTTTAATCTTCATCAGAGGTAACATGAACGCGCAGCGTTATATCCACGAAGTTCTAGAACCCCATCTTTTACCCTATCTTGACACCCTGGCAGATCCAACTTTCCAACAAGATAATGCCCGACCACATGTTGCAAGAGTCACAATAAACTTCTTTCAACATAATGATGTCACATTGTTACTATGGCCACCAAGTACTTATACAAAATTTTATTAAAATAAAACCATTTAAACTGGGTGTTCGGATTTATATGTCACTTAGTATATGTGGGCCGTTCCCATTATCGCCACTTTTTGTAGAGTGTTTATGGTATGTTGTTTTTCGTTACCGGGAATCTTGATGACCTGGTGCTGGAAATTCTTTTGCAGGGTTCCAGTAGCGCCTATAACGATTGGTACTATTTGTGCTTTCAAACCCCACATTATTTGTATTTCGATTTTCAGGTCCTGGTATTTTAACATCATTTCAGATTCTTTTCCTTTTACAGATGCATCCGATGGTATAGCCACATCAGTTATGTAACACTGCTTTTTTGAAAAGTCTTTTAACACAATATCTGGCTTGTTAACCGATATTGTCCTGTCGATGACGGTTTGAATTTGTTGGTCCCAAATGATTACAACATCATTACGTTTTTCAACAGCTTTAGGAATGTGATCATACCAATTCTGTGATACTTCGATTCCGAAGTGTTTGCATATGTTGTAGTACAAATATGCAAACATTTCGGAATATCCGGCATCCTCATTATTATTATTGTTATTATTATTGTTATTATTATTATTATTATTATTATAACTACGTTATTGCTCTATGAATGTACCAATTTCGATTTTTCGATGCGACTTGTCTATAAGCTAGGTTAACCTACACACCGCGCGGCGCCTGATTTGACTGTTTCACATAATACCACAGAGCATCATACCTTTTCACGGAGGAGGAAGAGAAGCAGGAGCTGGCAGGGTTGGGCTAGCCCATTTAAAGTTTTTCGGAACTTAATAACTCGATTATCTTAAGGCTTTGGCATATGGTATGTATTATTAGGAAAACTTTTTTGTTCCCTGATCTATGCGCTCTGTAAAAAAAAGTCCCATCTTTGAGATCACCCTATATATTTTAAACGCCTTCCAGCAAAAATCTCGAAAATCCATTCACTGGACCCAGGTTTCTAGGCTATCGTGTTTTCACGTCTAACGGATCTCCACTACAACAACTGCCTGTTGATAAGAACGCAGAAAGCCTATTTCCATATCTCATTACCGTAACGGTCCAGTCGATATAAGCATCTGGATAATAATCGCTGTTGACATCGAGCAGTAACGGCAACAGCGCATTGCCGGCATTCCGCGACGCATGGCATCCTCGCGCCGCTTGGCGTCCTCCGCAGCAGGATAACAGCAACACAGCAACATAGGCGGCAGCAGGATAGCAGGACAGCAATAACAGCCCCACTGACCTACACAACGAAGCAACGCGGTCGGTTCTGGCAGACCACCAGCCGCACTCGGTCGGGAGAAGCTGTAACGGGGCGGGTGGACTGCTGCAGGAAGGGTTGGGTTTTTTTGCTGTTTGTCAACGAATTCTTTACAACTCCGGTATTGATCCGGTACGTTCACGCCTTCGCCGCCTAATTATTGAAATCACGTGCTCTGAAGAAAATTGGGCGTTTCGCCTGACCCCTTATTCAGGGTGGGCGATAAGTAACTGACTGGTTTGTATCTTGAATATTTGTGAAATGAATTAAAAAACGTCCATTCATTCTGAATATTTTGAAACTTAGAAATCATGTATGAAAAATAATATCAGACATTTATGAAAGGAAATTAGATACGTCCATTTTTTTCATCTTAATCTTTTATTTAAACTTAGAAATTATGTATGAAAAACAATATCAGACAAATGTCCGCCTATAGAATCCGCGCAAATCTGAGCCTTCTTGACTCTGCAGTATTTGGTTTTCAAGAATCCCCTCAAAAAAGTCAGGAGCAGTTGAATCCGGTGGCTTTGATGGCCAGTTGACATCACCAAATCGAGAAATTACACGTCCCGGAAATATTATTCACAAAAGATTCATTGTTTCCCTAGCTGTGTCACAAGTTGCTCTGTCCTGCTAGCACCTCATGTTTTGCAGGTTAAATTGTTGGATTTTAGGAGTCAGAAAGTTTTGCACCATATCACGGTAGCGCTCGCCAGTGACAGTACGAGAATTACCTGCAGCGTCTTTGAAGAAGTAAGGTCCAATGATACCTCTATACCGCAACAAACTGTGACTCGACGAGGATGTAGTAGTCGTTGATGGATGACACGAGAGTTCTCTAATGGCAGGATATGACAATTCTGCTTATTAACAAATCCCTTCATATCGAAGTGGGCTTCATCGCTCAGTATCATTTGTCGGTAAAAAACGTTGTTTTGCGTATTAAGCTGCAATATTGTATGACTGTATTGTTCATGGTCTCTAGGCTATAGTTCTTGGCTTAACTGAACTTTGTATGGCCGCAAATGCAAATGCTTTTTTGAAATAGTACATAGTGACGTGCAGTGAATAGCCAGCTCTTAAGAACGATGTCTGGTAGACGTCTCAGGGCGCTCCACTACGCTTTCACGAACTCTCTCGATGTTTTCCGGAGTACGAACAGTTACACGGCCCGACCTTGGTAAGTCTTTAACTTCACCTGTTTGTTCAAATTTTCGCACCAACTGACGAAGAGTGTTTACACTGGGCAGAGAAATCTTGTCGTAGATTCCGAATCGTTGCAACAATCAACTGATTATTTAAGTAAAACGTTTTAACGTTGTAAGATTGTGTAGCGCTCCATGTTGAATTCGACAGATGTGCTTTAAACAACTACAATGGCGCCACCTACTGAAATGCGTATATCAAAAATGGCGCACAATTTAAATCATTTATATATTGCCCACCCTGTATAACTGTAAGATGTTGGCTCAGGAGTTTGCTAACCGTATTCTAGAAGTTGGAGAATCATCGTTCATAATATTGTGCAAGTATCGATTAAAAAATATAAAACCCGCCTTTTCAAATATGCTGAACGGGTTGTTCTTTATTATAGCTAAAATACTCACGAATAAGTTATTTCACACAAAAGAAGAATCCCCTATGTTTGTCAGGCTGAATCAAACCACAGTAGGTTTTTTTGCTGTTTGTCAACGAATTCTTTATAACTCGGTATTGATCCGGTACGTTCACGACTTCACTGTCTAATTATTGAAACCACGTGCTCTGAAAAACATTGGGCGTTTCGCCTGTGCCTCTAAATAACTGTAAGATGTTGGACCAAAAGTTTACTAATCGGTGCTTTAAGAATTTTAAAAACATGAATGATGTGCAAGTATCGATTAATAAATATAAAAAACAGGCGATTTAAAAATGCGGTTTTATGTTATAGATAGAGTGTCCACGGTTAAGTTTTTTCAAAAAAAGGAGGCAATCGCCAATGGTTGGCAGGCTAAATCAAATCACATAAATGTGCTTAAAATTCCTCTTTATTGTACACGTTTCGGTTCCAACGGTGACCTTTTTTAAGTGCATTTGATACTTCAGCGAATATATCTTGTCTATCTATATATCTGACACTTCGTTTGTTTTACATTTCATTTACACATTTATATACAGGGTGCGGCAGAGGGGACGGACGTTTTTGGGATGGGTAGTACTCTTTTAAACCGTCCATCCTCTCTACCGCGCCCTATACAATAGTGTGTGACCGGTGCTGTAGCATGCTGAGATTGCATGAAGCCATCATTGGAATTTTAAGATGGCTCGGTGCAAAAGCAGCAAAGCGCAAAACCTCCTGAGGTAGGTATTCCGGTTCCCAAAAGCACGTTCAGCTCTAGAAAGCG